CAAGAATGACTTGAATCTGTGTATTAATATCATTGCTTGTCTTTAAGGCATCTTAATTCCTTTATTTCCTTCTAGTCTCTACAAAATTGTTCACAGAAAACACCCATTATGTGAAATGCATTCATTACTCAATCCTAGTTGAACCATTTGTAAAAGAACTAAAAGTCTCTTTACAACGTAAGAAAACAGTGTTAAAATTTAAGATAAAACCAATAGTATATTTCCATTACAAATTTAACACAAGTATACATAATCTCAAAACAACAAAAAGCAAAGCAAATAATTGCACAATTACTGCATCTTATTTAAGCTACCAAATTAGAAATTTAAATGTTTTTCTACAACACAGAGAGTACACCAACCAATGGATGACATCTGTCTAAAGAGCTCAAACTTGAGATGGAACAAGATTTTTTCAGTTCTTCTCGTGTTAGTCTTTTTCAGTAAGTCTTGTTTACTCTTTGTATTTTTTCCTTACTGTAGATTATCAAGCTTCAGCATTCTTTGAAACTGTCAAGTGTGACATTTCTCTAAGTGCTTTTCAAAATCCTCTGTACATAACCAAGAGCTGTTCCAAACAGACATGCTTTTCGTTGAAAAAACATAGAATTCAGAGAAACTCTTTGATGTTAAGAATTTGTAGTCAGGTTTGAAAATTTATTAATATAAATTATCACCAGGATTAAGTATTAGTGCTGGCCTTCCTGGGTGACTGTCTGGAGATGGGTAGGTACAGTAGATCTCCAGAATTCCCTTCCAGATTAAGTTTTTCTACGAATATCATGTTACTTATTCAGCAGTCACTGAATAAACAAGACCCTCTACACAAAGGCACTGACGGCACAAACATGGGAAACCAAGCTGAAGATAGTATAATGTGAAAGGCCAATTCTACCAGAAGTTGGATTTCCAACTCTATTAACCATTTGTATGTTTTGAATGACAGACTCTGTCCCTTTACAACTACAAATCTAAGCTCAAAGACCCACATCTAGAGATGCCATCAACATCCACTTCTAACCTTGCTCCATAGAAATCGCCATTAGATATGAAGAAATAAGGTTTTATGGTAATGAGGGACATCTCAAATAAGCATCACCTGATAATCAACTCCAACAATTACTCAGGATGTTCAGGATGGAGTAATAGAATGAAGTTCAAGTCTTCATACATCAACTTTTCTTTTTAAATAAATACCTAAGATTTCTCATGCCTTGACCATTAAGCAGAACTCATGAGTTCAACCTTTGCTCTGTTATAAGCCAGTCAAACATTTTCAAAGTGGTTTTCCTCAGCTGTCTTCAGCAAATCAGCATCAGCTATTGACTTCCACTGTCCTCCTTCGTAACTTACAGTACATAAATTCTTCACAGTTCTTTATCTGTTGTGATCCAGTAAGGACATATGAAATATTCTTCCTTTGGTCTCCTATTGCAGAGAAATCAACTCAGTCTCAATGGTTAATATTCTGAGTTGACCAAACTCAGTATTTTCTATTGGACTAATGACAATTGTCTTGACACACCAGTTCTAGAAATATTACATTGTAATTCTAGACTTAAATATCTGAAGTTACTTTAACAAGCTAATTTAACAAGACATCTTATAAAATACCCCTGTAGAATTTGCTAGTGATCTCTGCCCAATGTGATATAAATGATTAAAAAAGACCAGAAGGGACTGTGGTTTTCTGAATACTAATTTTACATCTCATAATTAATCCTATGACTAATCATCAGGCTGATATTAATCTCTGAAAATACAGCATTACTACTACTCAGTGACAGAAGCTAAGTTTATGCTTATGCATCAATAAAATGTGGACATTCTGTACTTCAAGCAGCAAAGGGAACTCAAAAATCATTGTGCCCACAGCTGAAAACAGTTATGTGCACAGCTAATCTAAATACTCAGAAGAAACTTCATAAGAATACAATCATTTCATAAGTGTAAGCACTACAGGCATCAACACCATACAATTAGTCCCCACGTATTGCTCTGTACTGAAGAAAACCTGATTGTAACATACCAGGTTAAAAGGGAGACAGTTATAATGCCATACTCTCGATCAGCAACATTGAGAGAAAATAAATGTACAGCACTGCAAGACACTGTAGGAAAAGAATACATAAAGAATCCAACTATTGAACATTTGTAGCTGAGCATTTAGTCACTAAGAAACTCAATTTCTCTCTAGCACACTAACCTTCAACATACAGTAAAGAGTAAGTTCCACTGACATCAAAAGTAGTTTTCCTGTTAACTCAAGATTTTATAAGGTATTGACCTTCTCCTACACACTAAATACATGCTGACTAGCTTATCACTACAGTAAGATATTACATGAACGTGAAAGTAAAGATTAACAGGAAGAATATTTCAAACATTTGGAGCTGTTGGAAAGGATCCAAAAAAAGTCACGAAGATAATCAGAAGGCTGGAGCACCTCTCCTGTGAAGAAAAGTAGAGAGAGTGGGGCTTGGAGAAGACTCCAGTGGAGCCTTTCATTATTTCAAGGGGTCCTTATCTGCAGGAAGACTGACTTTTTGCAAGGGTGGATAGTGACAAGGCGGAGGGAATGCTCATAAACTAAAGGAAAGGGGTTTTAGGCTAGATGTTAGGCAGAAATTTTTACTTGTAGAGTAGTGAGGTATTAAAACAGGTTACCCAGAGAGGCTGTGAATGCCTCACCCCGTAAGTGATCAATGCCAGGTTGGGTGGCCATTGGGAAGTCTGATCTAGTGTGTGGCAGCCCTGCCAACAGCAAGGGGTTGGATACTAGATGATCCTCAGGGTCCCTTCTTCCCAAGCCACTCTATGATTTGACTGTAGTTATTTTTCTACTATTAAAAACAGGATTAAAAAAGCTAGTTTTTACAACTCAACTACCAAATTAGTAGTATTCATTCTTAAACTCTGGCCCAGATGAATAGCTTCTGAAAAGCAAGTGTTTTCTTAACAGTTTTAAACAAATTTCCATATACTGAAGATGCAATAAATGATCTGACAATATTCTTGAACCTCTAATACTGAAGCAGCAATCACTAACCGCAGCTAGAAATAATTAACAGAAGTTTACCAGGCCTCGGAGATGCCATTTAAAACTAAAATCAAGCAACTAAAGCACAAAATACTCCTCACAATGCACAATTCTTAATGAAAACCGAACTAAAATATCAAGTTAACTTTTAGAACTGTACCCTCTTCTCTTTTTCTCTCAACATATTTTCTCAGTATACCACTGAAGCTCAAGAACAACAACAACAACAAAAAAAAATCAACTATTCAACCCTAAAGTATCCCTAAGGTAACCCTAAAAGAATAGAAAAGTTACCTACCTGTAAAGAGGTTTCAGAATTAACATTTCCTTCTCAGAAGACAAAATGCTTCCCAAATTCTCCACAAAAAGTGCAGTATCAGCACTTATCCAGTAGCAATAGTGCTGTACTATCTCACACCACAACAACTGGAGTTTGAAATGCTATGATACGCTCTAAAGTATAGATTCCAACCTTTTGATTTGACTAGCCTGCACTGACTGAAGAGGAATTATTTTGGGATGGATATTAGAAGAGTTTTGTTACTTCTATACCTTTTATTTTTAATTCAAACAAAAAAACCACAAAACCAGCAGGCTGGATGTATATGCTCCAACATATACTTCCAGACCTCTCTTGGTCTACTTCCTTGTCACCACCTTCCTGTCTCTGTCCAGTAAACACGTTAAGCCGCTTGCTAGTTAACAGGAGACCTTTTTGGAACTCTTGATTAAAGGCTGAAATTATAGATGACCATGAATACATTAAAACGAGTACTTCTCCTTTGTCTTCCCCAACTCATCTTGAAATAGCACACTCAGTGGAATTAAATTAAATACTACTGTTCTTGTATACTTATGTGCCATAGAGAAGATGAGCTAAAAAAATCCAAAGGAAGGTCATGAAGATGATCAGTGGGCTGAAGCATCTCTTCTATGAAGAAAGGCTGAGAAAGTTGGGGCTGTTTACTTAAGGAATCTGGGGAAACCTCACTGTAGCCCTCCAGTACCTAGAAGGGGCCTTCATGGAAGACCTCTCGGTCAAACAGTCAACAATCAGGGCGAGAACAGAGATTTAAATTAAATGTTAGGGGAAAAATCTTAACTCAGATGTTGGTAAGACACTGGAACAGTTCACACAGAGAAGATGAAGATGTACCTAGAGATGTTCAAGGCCAGACTAGATGGAGCCCTGGGCAATATGATCTAGTGAATGGTGTCCCTGCTCACAGCAAGGGGGTGAAACTACATCTTTAAGGTCCTTCTCAACACAAACCTTTCCATGTGTACTCTGTCAAATAAATGAACTAATTAAAAGTAAAAGAAAAGCTACAGCATGACTTCAGTAAGGATTAGTCAAAATTAATTCATTAGATTTTTAAATCAGCAAAAAAAGATTTTCCTTTATCCTGTAGGGCCATTTCATCACTATGGGATTGCATCTGTACACAGGTACTGTACTCTTATCAGCATAATACTGAGTCTCTAAGCATTAGGCAGAAACACATGTCACATTTAGAGAAAGAAGTAAGCAGCAGAATGCTTTCCTTTTGGAAATATACAAATTTAAGTTCTGAAAATTAGTAGTTGAAGAAATACCTTTTTTTTTTTTTTTCTTCCAGTGCAAAGTGTAAGGACTGTGAGGGATGTAAATTCCTTTGGGAAGTTGTTTTCATGTCTCAGTTTGAGCCCTGGAAAAACAATACCTCTTCCACAGAGAAACTGTACCCCTATGCACAGAAATCTTAAGCATAACAGAAAGCTGCTTATTGCAATCTCAAATGAAAATAGCTTATTTTCTAATTAGGAACTCCTTGCCCTGCTCCACAGTGTTGCAGGATATCACTAACTTAGTATTAAGTGACATAACAGAATAAATAGCTATATCCATATTTGCTTTCACTAAATATTAGCCTACAACAACATAACACCCAAAACATGAAAAGATAGCAATAGCACTTACTGTAATCACAGCTTTACTCAGGCAGATAGAGCCTCTGCAGCCATATTCTGTTTCGTCTTCAGACTTATAATAACTGAGTGTGTTGGTTTTCAGAACCACCCACCGATCTTGCCATCCATGAATGTAGTTGGTCCACTATAAAAAAAATCAAAAATCTGTTAATGGAAAATATAAAAATATTTTTAAAATTTTGTTGATATTTCCAAAACTTTCAAGTATCAGTGTTTTTTGTTGTTGTTGTTGTTTTTGTTTTTGTTTTTTTAAAGTTCTTACCAATTGAGAACATTACACTTCTGATCAGGACTCCTGAAAAAACACTTTTGCAAGTCACTGAAATATGGTACTAAAAACCAGTTGCTTCCCAGGAACAGGAAGATAACAGATGTCTTTGATGTAAAATTGCTCCCAAGGCCACTTAAACAAAGGTACCAATGCAGTGACAAACTGGGGGACACAGGAGGGGAACACCAAACATTCTACCTTGAATTTAGACTTGTTATCTTAAATCTGAATAAGATGAACTGCCAAACTTAAGCAGAACTTAAAACACTTTATTTATATAAGGTGACTTATACCAAAGTGATTTTACCAAATTTTCTAACTCTTCTCATATGAAAGCATACATGCCATTATCCTACCAGTAGAGCATATAACCATTATAGCAACTAAAGTCACCAGTTCTTCATCAATTTGTTACTACCCACAGATACTGCTTTAGGTTTTAATTCCATAACTACTTCATCATTAAGATGATAATTACTTGTCAGGAGACATCGAATCATCCTGTTACTAAGATCTTTCCAGGGACTCAACATTCACGTATACAGTGCAACTGACATTCCAGGAACAGTCCTAGATTCACCATATAAATGTACTGTTACAAGTTGACTAAAAAAGTCCTGATTATTAATATCTTGTATTTGCTACAACTTCCCAACACAAAGAACTACACCCTGCAGAAGCATACAGCACCAACAGAGCATCACAACTATTCTACAACTCTGGGAACACACTGGTGCTAGGACTTCGAATGCAGGGTAAAAAAAACAGAATTTAAATAATGGAAATGGGAAAACAAAAACACTGACAATGATTGTATCAGGAAAGCATTTCTTTGATCACAACAAAGACTTCCTAACCACTATTCACCATTTTACCACATTGAAACAGGGAGGGAGAAGAAAGTGGACCAATGGGATAATTCCCACATTATATTACATGCATCAGTTAGCACATGTCTCATAACTAAATGTTAGCTCTTCTAATGGCAAGAGGAAGTCTAAGCACTAAATAGGACAACAAATTCTATTACCTGAGAAATTACTAGCTATCTTCAAGCACAGGTGAGACCTACATTTACTCACCAAAAATAAACCTTTTTGCAACCTCCTAATAAACTCAATAGCTACATTCAATATGAGCACTTCAGCTGCGTTTAGTATCTGAACCAATAGCACCAACTGTTACGAAGGTGTATTTGCACTGCCTTCCTTCCTTTGTCTCTATTATATTCTCTGTTCCTACCAAATATGAAGTGCAAAGCCCAAAGGTATCTTGGCCAAAAGAGCATGGGACAGGAGAGAAAGCATCTTTCCTCCTTTAACACAGCTAAGCGAGGTAAATATAGCAGCCAACCTTGCATTTGCTGCTGCAATCAACACTGGCTGTTGCAACTGTTGCAACCAAAATGTGACAGGAATTAAGAGAATCCTTGAAGTATTCTCATAGAGAAAAAAGGTTTCTGCAAACAAAGGACCACTGGTTAAAGCACACATGTATCAAGACATTTCCATGGTAGAGTTCTTCGTATCCACCTTAAAGTTGTAAGGAAAATTGTAATGGAAAATGCCTAGAGTTTGGAAACACTCAGAGAGCAGTGAAATGTACTTCTAGTAAGTTTCTCTTTCAAAATTATCCTGTTTGTTTAAAAGCTTCTCTTTACAGAGTTGAAAAATTACTAAGCATACAGAAATGCAGCATACTTTCACTGATCTGCTATTTAATAACAAAGTTTTAAAAACAGAGACACACTCAGTAATCAGTTTGTAATGGTACTCTTCTATTTTAATTAATTTGTTTCAAGTATTACTGAGGTATTAACTAGCAAAAGGTAAAATTATCCCTCAAGTATATTCACTGGAACAAGTTTTACCATGCTTTGACTACTGAGATTACATCCCCCGGGTTTTCACAGAAAGGGCAACATCAACTATGTTTGGTATAATTATAAAAAAATTACAAGTCTTGCACATCAGAACTTTATAAATTTCAGCAGAGACCATGACTTCACCCATTACTTCTATATTTGCCAATATAAGAACCAACCATATCCTAACAAATATTCAAGTTTCTAAGGTAAGAATCATCCAATCAAAAGAACACATTGTTAAGAAAAACCTACACTACTAAACCAAAACCTCGTGTTTTGAGTGCTGTCATATCTCATGACTCTCATCCTCTCCCATCCCCTACAGATGATAGGATCTCACACGAGAGCCTTCTCCTATCTCTGGATTTAGGAATGCTTTTAGACTGCAAAGCATTTATGACTCTCCCACAAACAAGCAGAGGACTGCCTCATTGTGACTGTTTTCCTAGCAGTCAGGGCCAGTTATGAACTCAGTATCCCATGACCTGTGTGCTCCATGCAGGCTGATGCCCAGCCTTGCCACACAGGACAGGAAAGAACTTTTTTTTTTTTTTTTTAATTCAACATAATTCTGAAAGTACTTTCTGTAAAAATAAAATCTTTTTGCTCCCAAACTTAATGATTCAACACACAGCTTCAGAATTGCCCCCAAAGTAAAATTTCCAGCGTCACTCTAAGCATACTTGCAAGTCATCTCATTTCCAGCGATTTTTAAGAAATGATAATAAACAGCAGCACTTCTATTTAAGAAGGGAAACGAGCCGTAGTGCCCTTTTCCTTCCTCTGCTCCCCTCCTCCCGTGTCTCCTGCGGCAGGGCTGGTTTATGGCACTGTTTTGATAGTCACACCGAAGGCTGCGCCGCTCCCGTGCCTGCTACGGAGGAGCGACGAGCGCGGGCCCCGGCGCAGGGCAGCCGGGAGCCCCGCCGCACAGAGGATGCGCCCCGCGCCGCCGGGGACCCAACTCTCGCAGCGCGAGGAAAGGGGCTCCGCGCTGGGCGTCTTCCCAGCCCGACCGGGGCGCGAGGCCGCGCCGGCGGCTCCGCCCGAGGCGGGGCTCCCTCACGGCACCTCTCCGGGCCAGGCTACCGGGGGGAGGTGAGCGGGCCCCTCCCGGCGCAGCGCCGTCGGGGACATGCCGGTGCCCCTGCCGGAGGGAGGGGGCGCGGGAGGCCGGCGCGGCTCCCTGGCAGCCTTCGCGATCAGGTGGCAGCTGTTCCGGCCAGCGCTTCTGCCGGATACAAGCGAGCCCCGGAGCGGGGCGGCAAGGAGCTGACAGCCGGGATCTGTCGGCGGAGGAGGGGAGGAGAGGGGGAGGCAGCCGGGAACCGCCGCGTAGAAGGGAAGCGCGAGGCCGCCGGGTGCGGCGGAGCGAAGCGCCTTACCTTGCTTAGCACCCCGCAGAGCTCAACAGGCAGCCCGAGCTCGGTCTCGGGGTCCTCCTCGGAGCCGGAGGAGTTCCAGCTCTGGTTGTCCGACATGGAGACTCGAGCCGCAGCCACCGCTGAGCGGGGAAGAGCCGCGCGGCCCCTGCCCACAGCAGCTTCAGCGTCTCCTGCCGAGCAGACGGGAACGGCCGGCAGCGGCTCTACCTGAGCGGCACCGCTCTGCGCCCGCCAACGGCCTCCAGAGGCGGAGGCTCGCGCGGTTCCCTCAGAGCAGCTCCCCGGCCCGCGGCAGCAGCCACAACATAGAGGTGGCGAGGGGAGGAGGAGCGAGCGCACGTCCGCCTGCCGCGCGCTCCACTCACGGCGCCGCCGCCGCCATCTTACGCGAGGCGGGGGGGGGCGCTCTGCTGCTATTTACCCGTTCCGCCCCCGCTCGGCCCAGCTGGCGGAGCCGCGCTGTACGCCGGGAGCTGTAGTCTCCCCTGCGGAGTCCGAGGCCGCCGCTGCGTGCGGCATGCTGGGAGTTGTAGTCCACCGTGCCGGCGGTTCCCCTCCCGCCGGCTCGTAGCCGCCATCTTGGTCTCGTCTTTCCCGTAGCGCTGGGTTTGTTCTCTGATAAGGTGGGGTATTTCGCTCCCTCCCCGAACGTGGGGCAGCAGTGCTGCCTGGACTGGTAGGAGCCGATCGAAAAGCGGCTGCCTGAGCTGTCAGGTAGCCCGGTCCCTTGTTTTTACGCGCCTGCTGTTGTAGCTCAGGGCACCAGGTAGTACGCGGTGTTTTTTTAGAGCTCTGACTGGGATGCGTAACCTTGTTTGTGGGGGTAGAACCGTTTACAGAAGAAAGATGTGCCAGCTGACTGCTGTACAGCGTACGAGCAGATACAGCAGGTTGGAATGGACGTACGGTTTGTGCGGGCTCGTGTGTTTTTGCTTAATTCTCGGGGGGAAGAAGACGTCAAAAGGTTTGGGTGAGGGAAGGCTTAGCTTTGCGGTGCATGCTACTGGTTGTATTAGAGGAATGATGCTCTGAAATCTGATTTTCTCTGACTGCCTCTCTGTGACAAACCATGGTGTGATTTTTCCCATGCGATGCAGCTTGAGAAATTACTTTTTTCTTTTTTTTTTTTTTTTTTAAATTGAAGAGCCTTTATGACAGACCTACGTACATATGCGTATTATCCATATACGAGATAGGTAAACTTTTAGTAACATGAATACCATCTCAAAGTCTTTTGTATGAAGATGTCTGCACTGTAATTATAAATTCTCTGTACTGAGTGAGTGTTAAAGCAGCACGTCGCTGTCCTAAACAACTGGAAATAAAGGGTGGTCACAGAAATTTTCCTACTTCTCTCTGAGATGCATACTTTCTGTCAGGGCTATTGTGGATACTGTTTTTGACAACTTTCAGACTTAGGAAAAGCTGTTGAGAAATTAGGCCCTTTGCTTCATCTGCTATTTAGAAAGAAGCTATGCTATTTTTGCTTTGTATCTGTTGCGATGTACTGCATTTCTTAAGCAGGGTGGCTGACTTTTGTATGTACTGATATGTGAAGGAATAACTTTTGGTTCTTCTTTGCAGCACATTTATGAAGTTAAGTGGCACCACTTTTAACATCAGATTCTTTTCCCCCATCAAGTTCTGAATGAATTTCTTTTTTCTATTCTGATCTGAAAGCAGGGAGTGAACAGACATGTCTGAGCAAAGCTTTTGGCAATGATGGTGATGTGTACTTAGCCATGAACCTTCACTTTCTTTCTAGGATTGACCTCTTGGTTGCAGTTGCTGTTACAGATCAAGAACTGCTGAACTGTAAGGGTTGTAAGGGATCTCTGTAAGAGATCATCCTATCCAGCCCCTTGCTAAAGCAGCTTCCCTACAGCAGGTTGTGCAGGAGAGCGCCCAGTGGGCTTTTGAATATTTCTGGAGAAGGAGACTCCACAACCTCTCTTGGCAGCCTGTTCCACTGCTCCCTCACCATCACAATAAAGGAGTTTTTCTTCTATTTCGATGGAACTTCTGTTCCAGTTTGTGTCCCTTGTCCTGTTGCTGGGCGCTGTTAAAAAGAGCGGCCACATCCACTTGTCCCTCGCTCTTTAGATATCTATTAGCATTGATAAGATCCTCGCTCAGTCTTGTCTTCTCCAGGCTGAACAGTCTCTGGTTTCTCAGCCTTTCCACATAAGGAAGATGCTCCAGGCTCCTAATCATCATAATGAAATTATCTTCTTGTTTTTTTCTCCATTTATAACTGCCACAACCTCCTGGAGTGTCTTATTTTTTACCTTTATTTCATTAGTTTTTGTTCTTTAATCATGTGTTGAGAATGTGAATAACCTGAATTAAATTAGCTCTTCTCTGATATTCTAACCACCCTTTTGGTATATTACTCTCTGCCTATTACTTTTAATGAGACCAAGTCACATCTACATTTCTGTGGTGCAATGGGAGTAGATATTCAAGGGAAAGATTTGGCACTGAGGACCTTAAGTTCATCCTGTATGTATTTTAAGAGGTTCTTCTTCTTACTAGCTCTAGTCTGGTCCCATGGCAGAATGTCCATTAGCAGATGGAATATGTCAAGCAATTAGTCTTATTGTTTAATTTATGAAGAATCTGATTTGTATGCTCCAAGGCCAACCTGTCATACAAAGCCGTGTTAAGTGAAGATGATCTATCTGATAGGCTGCTGTAGACCACACATTCATCTTTACCTCTTCCTGTGTCTTCTTCATAGAATCACAGAATCAAAGAATGGTTTGGATTGGAGGGGACCTTTAATATCATCTAGTTCTATCCCCTTGTTATAGGCAGGGACACCTCCCTCTAGACCAGGATGCTCAAAGCCCTATCCAGCCTGGCCTTGAATGCTTCCAGGGAGGAGGCATCCACAACCTTTTTGGGCAGCCTTCTTCAATGGGCATTTATTTTGTGCTTGATTACTGTAATCATAATTTCACCACAAACCCTTGTATCCAGTCTGTACTCCTCATTACTTAAAAATTGTAAGGACTCTACATTTCTGAAGATACTAGTCATAAGCATCACTAAATGAATAATTTTATGAATATCAAATTTTTCTTATTTTTATGCTTAATTTCCAGTGTTGTTACACATTCAGCTGTACTGTCTTCATTGTTTGTTAGAAAAGCACATTAATCTTTAGTGTATAAATATTTTCTAGTATGTTCATGCTCATAGCTTAAGTTTAGGATTATTTTTCTTAAGGGATTCTTAAAGGAGCTTTAATTAAACATGACCATATTGCCTAGTAGCATAGGGTCCTGGGTATAAAAAATTCCTTCATTATTTTCCTTTTGGCTTAAAGTAATCAAGCATTTTTTCAGTACTTTAGAAATTCAGGGAAACCTTGCTTAGAAACTCGAGGTGAATGTCTTTCAGTTTAGAATAACTTGTGAAACTGAGTAGAGGCAAGAGAAGATACCATAGTTCTTTGTCTTTGGAATAAACTTTGAAGTTCTAAAGTCATGGGGTTTTCTGAACAGAGCCATAGAGGAGCTGAAAGCAGGATTTGCAGCACTATTATACCGCGTTTTGCCTGCAGAAAATTTATCATAAGTAGGTAATGCACTTGTTTCATTTTAGTTGGCTCTTTGTGTAAGGGAAGAATTATCCTGGTAGCTTAATGAATGGCATAACATACATAGTTTGACATCTTCCTTTCACGTAGCAGGCAGTCTCTTACCTGTTTGTTTTGCAGCATGAATTTTCTTACTGCAGGCTTGGATTGTCTGTAATTTGTAAGTTGATGATTTCAGAAAAGACATGATTCTAGGATTCTGCTTCTAGAAAGCTAGTTCTGAGTATTTGGTTAGGATATAAGTTTTCAGAGAATGCTGGGACAGCTGCTACCTGAAAAAGAGTCCCATTTGGCTGTCTCAGCATAAGCACTTGGAATTTTAATCGGCTTTTCTAGAAAAATAACATACTATTATCCATTGAGACAGAACAGCGAAATGGTAGTTTTGAACATTGCTAGTAGGGAACCCAGGTAACTAATGCTGTGTATGCTCACATACTGAGAATACAATTGCACAGTTCTTCCTGCCAGTTCTATTATTTAGAATCTCTGCAGGATTAAAACTGACATGAGTCCTCTTTCTGGGGTCCGCTCAGTAACCATAACTCCGGTAACCATCACCCCCAGTGGCTGAAGAGAATTGAGCTGATCGTTCAGAAGGACAGTCTGATGTGCTTGCTTGCACGTGTCTTTGTTGGTGGCTTCTTCTGCTGAGAAGCGAAGGCTTTCAAAGTGCAGGTGATATTTAAATCATTATCCAGGGAATGTGTTTTTACAAGGAAATAAGAATTAAGGAGCTTGTTAAATTTGACCCTGTCACCCAGAATGTTTCATTGCCAAATGAATACTCAGTAAAGAGAGGTGCAGCAAAACTTTTCTTGATGGAAAAGATGTGATGCAAATGTTCCTGTTTAGGGTGCAATTCTTAGCTCACCCAAATAATAACAAAGTCAGGTAGAATGAAATCAAATGCACTATTGGGGTATAACCTTTTAAACATCAGGGACGTTAAAAATATCCTTGTAGTACTGAGTCTTCCTAGTTTGAGCATATGCTTGTTCTTGTCTTATAAATTCAAGAAATAAAGCAAAGTGTTTGTTGGTGACACATTTTTCACACGGCTTGGCTATATTGATGCAATAATTCCTGTACCCAGGCGGGTTAGCTGCGGTTTAGTTCTTTAGTAGTGGGTGCTGCCTCCAAACACTTACATGCAGAGCCTAGGTAAAGATATTTCTGTACAGGAAGTGGAATAAGAAGTGTAGCTGCATGGCCACCTGTTCTATCTTAATTAGCATTTGGGGAAAAATCAAAGTGTTGTTGATTTAAAATGTTGATTTGAGTGAATTGTGGTCTTACTGAGAAGGTTTCTATTTATTACTTATAGATCAGCTTTGTTCTGAGGTGGCCAGTGATGTGGTTTCCAGCAGTAATAATTTCCAGTCTAAGGAAGGCTATCGAAGGTTTGAGTTTGAGAATAACTCTTGAATCAGTCTGTTTGGCTTGTTTGTTCTGCATTCTTTTTTCAGATTCTTCAGATTCTTCAATTCTTTTGTGTTCTTTTGTATTCTATTGTCAAAACAGTTTTCATGAGTATTAAAATATGTAAAAAAAAAAAAGAGAAGGTGAGGCAATTGAACTTTTATAATTTGATTTAGTGTATAACTTGCTACTATACATTAGTATATTCTGTATTTTACATTTATATACATTTTTGCAAAAAAGCGAATGAGATTTCCTAAGTTCTGGAACACTAACTG